CTGCCGGGCCTGATTCTGAACGCTGCCTGTGAACGCTGAGCTGAAACATGCTGATGTAAAAACAAGCTTAACATGGCTCCTGACCTTTCTGTAATTACCCATAGAGTATTTCAGTCTCTCAAAACCTCCCCCTGCCTCCAAAGCCCGGGGAGAGGAGCCCTCCTCCTGATGCCGAGCGGAACATCTGGAGGAAAATCGGAGCAGAGCTGATGTGGCACGTGTCTGCTCCCCACCCCCCCCTAAAACAAAAAATACAAATTCACAGTGGGGGATTTGGATGCTGAGGGCAAAGATCCCTTTCTTTGCTGTTTGATGGAATTATTTTTGAAAGTGCTTAATAGATGTAGCAGTAAGTTTATTTTTCCTGGTCATACACTCATGAGATAATGTATGTTTTAATCACTTGAGAAAGAAGAGGAATACAAGCCTGCGGGAAGGACAAACGCATTTTTCTAACAAAAAACATGGCAAATCACAGGATTCTTTAAATGCGTCTATCAAGGAAACGATTTAACCAGGACGGTTTGGATTACACAGGAATGCAAAGTGTCTTTAAGCACCTCTAATTTAACATGAAACAGCGTTTGATGATTACATTTACTCAAGGTGGCAAATGTCACAGATGTCAAACCAGGGCCCGCAAGTCACTCTGCTCCACATATCACGATTTCAGATAATGTCCGTTTGGAAATATCCAACCGCATCTGAGCCGCCGAATTGGAGAGGAAGAAATTACGAGCAATCTCTTGGCACAACACTGTCGCCTGATTGAATGCTATTGATTGTCTTTAGGGTTGTTTTCTCTCTCTCTTCTGTGGTGTGTGCAACATTCAAACTAGAGATTACAGCGTTTGGAAAGCAGAGGTTTGTTGGATTTCACAAAACTGCGTAATTATCTCAAACGTGGAGCGTAACGGCCGCTCCCGCTCCCGTCAAGAGCAATATTAGAGTACATGTACCATCTGGAGAACATCACCATCGTAACTCTTACTGTTTTGGATACCTCAAATCTGCAGTTGGTCTACAGTACAATATATCCTGTGACACTCCACTTTCTAATAAAGATTCATCTTTTTAAACTATACTTTATATACTATTCTTGTAAATTGTTTGGTCAACTGGTTATGAAACTATAGGGGTCCCAACTTTCTGATGAGTTCAAGTTGAATTTAATTGGCACAAAGATACTTGAATAACATAAGAAAAAAAGCGGAAAAGGAAAATATTATTATATTCATAATTCATAATATAATTATATTCAGTTCTAGGGCTTTTCTCATATCTCTTATATATTCAGATAATCAACTGTTATTAAAATAAGACTATATGAGAACATTAGAGTTAAAACTGCTAAAAACATTTACCGTAACTAATCATTGAAGCAACATTGTGCAACTGCTCTACCTTCAAAATGAGTTTAATGGTTCTCTGACCTGGAATAGGGAGTATTCCATTCCAACTCCTCAGCCTGAGCACCTCTTCTTATATGTCACTTTGGTGAGTCTGTTCGATCTCCTGCGAGAAAAACCAGTATATATACAATACAGCTAGAAAATTTAAAATACAAAGAAACCTAAACAGTGGATTTGTCACAGCAGCAGCTCTTTTGGCTCAGGAAGCTGAGGATCATGGGTAATATCCACCATTGAGTTTAATTAACTTAATCGCTGGGAAACGAAATGTTATGGACATTTTACATTTGTGTATATATATAAGGGCATATAAGGTTTACGATGATGGCTTAAGAGCCTTGAGTTTTATGGCCTCGAAAAACCACAACTTTATGGTATCTCTTGGTATCTCTGGTTGGGATCTAACACCAGGGGTCTCACAGGGGGGTCATCCACAGAACATGTAAACATAAGGACAGGATGTCTCCTCCCTTGAAGTACGGCCTGAAGTTCTGGGCCTTCATGGCTGCCCACTGTTCCGTGTGTGGTCACTGTGTGGAGTGTGTTCCGTGTGTGCTCCGTTCACACGGCTGGGTTAAGTACAGAGGTCAAATTTCCACATGTTTGCATGTTGCATGCTGTGTGTGGGACCATAAATCAATCTTAATCTTAATCTTATAACTCACAGCCCCCTCCCACTCAGCATGCAAAGGTTTTTATTACCCTCCTGTAGTTTCACTCAGTGGAGGAGACATCCTGTCCTTWTGTTTACATGTTCTGTGGATGACCCCCCTGTGAGACCCCTGGTGTTAGATCCCATTCAGAGATACCAAGAGATACCATAAAGTTGTGGTTTCTCGAGGCCATAAAACTCAAGTCTCTTAAGCCATCATCGTAAACCTTATATGCCCTTATATATACACAAATTTAAAACACACTGTTCCGTGTGTGATGGTTTGGTGCCTTGCTCAAGGGCACCTCGGCAGTGCCCAGGAGGTGAACTATAGCACCTCTCCAACTTCCGTCGATGCTGGCCTTGGACCGGTCACCCTCCGGTTCCCAAGCCAAATCACTATGGACTGCACTACAATGATTCTCATGTGTTCTTTGCTCATTTGTGCATGTCATTCAGGTGATGTGTACTGATGAGTCCATCTGCAGATGCTGAATTAAACTTTGAGAAAGAAGTGTTTGACTTTGTGCTTGTTTCACAGAAATTGCCACCACAGAAGGCAAACAGAATTAATCAGCATACATGGCTGCAGAGGGTGCTGTTGCACAGTGACACAGTATTGCTTTAACAATATATCGAGCTCCCATACAGAGATATTTCAAGTAAAATATTACAAATTTGCATCCTTACGACCCTAAAAACCATAGAAAGAATCGTCAGCTGTTGTGTAAAGAGTATAACTGTTATCTTTAAAATGTGAAGGAGTAAATGTATAAAGTGTCCCAGAACTGAATTTAAATACATGTACTCAGGACTGATCTGATGCTCTCATTGAGTTTCATGGTATGTTGGTATCCTTGTTTGTGTTTTGTGCATCTTTGTATTCATCCTCTTGTTGTCTTGCATGTATGTGTATCAAGGCCTGTCTTTTATCTAGCGTAGTGCCATAAATACATTCTGGTTTATGACATTAATCAATGCTCGGCACTTGTCCATATTAAAATAAACAGCAAATCAATAATTAAATACAACAAAACCTTCACCTTGACAGAGTGCGAGGCTGAAAGTCGCCCGAGCTGCATTGTGCACCCCGCGACTATGCATGCAAGTGACGTATGTGCTCCTCTGGTCCGGCCTCACGCTAATGCAACTCGACAGTATCTGCATCACATCATGACGCTGAGCCCCATGCAATTCTTCCTTGGGATACATTCATATTCATAATCCAATTAGTTTTGACTCCAAGATAAGGGCTCTTTTTAATTTTTTTTTATACAAATATGATTTATCCTGTTTGGGGGGGGGGGGGATTATATCAGAGTCTAAATGTTCGGCCTACGAGGACCAAGCCAGAGCCAAAATGGAGTCGGGATTATTTATCAGTTTGCTTTCTTTGGGTGAAAACAAGATGCTCAAGCGTGACTAAGCTGTGTTTGCAATACTACGCTCCCACCCACACACACACGTGCGCGTGCACGCACGCACACACACACACACACACCTGTAAACCTGCTTTACAAGTGCATAAATGCACAGTTAGCCTGCACACTTAGCTAAACAAACAGGAATCTCTTCCAACACCTTCTATTATACATTAACACACACCCACCAACTTACATCCACACCCACACATCCAGCATCCAATTAATTAGTGAGGATGAGTGACGTGTCCTTGGCTCGGCTGCATGTCCCTCCGTCCCCCTGCCTGTGTTTGCCTCTTGCACCATGCATGGATCAACTATCGGTTACTTTGTTTGGCTCGAACACAACGCTGCACACTTCGATCCGGCCCACAATGGGACGCCGCGCCACCAATGAGGTGGTCTGAGAAGAGGCAGGTGCGTGTGGGGGAATAAAGACAAGAAATGTAAAAAATATAATGATTTTCTTGTCATGATGACCAGGTTTTGCTTTCCACACACATTCTGGTTCAGTATCTTGCTCACAAAGACTGGGAGGGGACTGGGATCAAACTATGGAAGACACACTCCATCTCCTGAGCAACAGCCGCCCCAACAAAACAGAAAAATGAGAAAAAAAGAGGCACCAACAGGTAGAAAGACTATTTGACAAGCAACGGCACAAAAGGAAAACAACAAACCGAAAAGCAAACAGGTGGGCAGGGAGAAATTATACACAGTCAGCGGACCATAATGGGAATGCTTTACAGCCACATGTAGTTGCTCCTAATGATGTTTTGCTTATTGCAAGCACAGCTGGAATCTCCAGACTCACTTGGATTGGTCTCTTATTGCACTTGCATTGCGTGTGTGTGTGTGTGTGTGTGTGTGCATGTTGTGTCCTCTGCAGAAATGATGTCAGTGAGTGAGGATGTTTAACTTTTTCCTGTCCTGCTCTTAATTCCAAGTGAACACTGCAGATGGAGGAGGAAGGGAGGAGGGTGTGTGCGTGTGCCCGTGGAATAACTACCTCAACTCTCCCGTGTTAGCCACCCCCCACCTCCTGATTACTCTCAAACATTGGAGTGGAACACAAAGCCATGAGATATGAGAGCAGAAGAGGAATATGTTTAAACCACTTTTACTTTTCCTTTCTATCTTTTTTAAAGGAGAGTATTTCTATCTCGGAATAAGAAAGAAACCTCACGCACACATACGCATATAGGGTGCCACACTGACGCATCGCTTGTTGTATTGTCAATTGTTTTTTTGTTTTTTTTACTGGTGAACTGAGGCATCCCTGTAGCAGATAGTTGTTTTTTTTCTTTACCGCATTCAACAGTGTTTTCAATCCGAGGGGCGAGAGTCGCGGTTTGCAGTGCAGAGCCGTCTAACCCTTTAAGGACGGAGGCGTAATTTTAAGGCTCAGCTGAGGCGAGCGCAGACCTCATGTGAGATCTCACCAGTGTTTGCGACGATGCCGACTTGGACACGTTCACCATGGAGCTGCGGGCTTTGAGAATTTACCACAGGAGCCTCATTTAGGCGGCTATTTTTGAGCATCTGGAGGGAAATTACGCACAGCTCCAAAGCTTTAAAGTGTGATCTCAGAGGAAGAAATGTATGTGGATTGATTTTCCCCTGCTCTATATCCTCTCAGCATTCCCTTAGTCAGTCGACGGATTTTTTTAATTTTTAATTTATTTTTGTGCCATTACAGCTCAGTAGAGGGTGTCAGATCTTTCTTAGAGCACCGCGCAAGGATGAACACGGTCTCCGCGTTCCTCTTTTTGTGATTCCCGAATCGCCACAAGAAAAGAAGCAAAGGAGAAAAAAGAGACACAGAGTGGTGGGGGTGGTGTTGGTGTCTGTGCTGGTGCCAGCAGGACAGAGAGAAACGCCGCAAACGAGCGAGGCAAGCACGCCGGAGAATGTGAGAGGGGGATGCGGGTGTTTTGCAGCGGTGGCATCGCCTGTGAAGCTCCAGCAGCAGCGGGGTGTGAATTCAGCACCGGGGGAGCGGGGACAGCTCCTGACGCCGCAGCGCTGCACGACCGTGGACCGGAGGAGAGAGAGCAGGGCGCGCGGGCTTGTTCACGTTTATTCCGCCTCCTCGTTGCCAAGGTCAGTCTTTAACGAACTGGAGAGAAAAAAAAGACAAAAGATGCGTGGGACTCGGCTGCGGCTCGCTGTTTTTGATTTTCATCGCTAACACGCGGCGCCTGCGAGGATTCAGTCGACGTGAAAGAGACGTTTATATGGCGATTTCAACACTGCGAGTCTGGACCGGCGCAGCTTATAGACGCAGCATGGATGTGTGATTAAAGAAGACAAAACAGAGACTGCCTTATCTCCCCCAGAAATGTCTATCTCTCGCTCCTTTCTTCAACAGCTCCTATGTCTTGACACCCGGGAATGAATCGTCCACGTTGAAAAATGCTGCTCTGGATCGTCCTGCTGAATGCGGCTCTTTGTGTTGCCAGTGGGAATGTTACAAAGGACGTTTGTAAGGAGCAGATATGCTCCTGCAACGACATCGAGGGGGATCTGCACATAGACTGCGAAAAGAAGAGCTTCACCACGCTGCAGCATTTGACCGGCCCCAGCTCGCAGTTCTACCACTTGCTGTTGCACGGGAATTCACTGTCCAGGCTCTTTCCCAACGAGTTCGCCAACTTTTACAACGCGGTGAGCTTGCATTTGGAAAACAACGGCTTGCACGACATCGTCCCCGGTGCGTTCCTGGGGCTGCAGCTGGTGAAGAGGCTGCACATCAACAACAACAAGATACGATCGTTCAGGAAAAGCACGTTCCTGGGGTTAGACGACTTGGAATATCTGCAAGCTGATTTCAATCTACTGAGGGACATCGACCCCGCCGTTTTCAGGGACCTAAATAAACTTGAAGTGTTAATCCTTAACGACAACCTCATCAGCGCGCTACCTATAAACGTGTTCCAACATGTGCCCATTACGCATCTCGATCTGCGGGGGAACCGAATCAAAACGGTGCCTTATGAGGGGGTCCTCGAGCAAATACCAGGCATTGCGGAGGTTTTGCTGGAGGACAACCCGTGGGACTGTAACTGCGACCTGGTTTCTCTTAAGGAATGGCTGGAGAACATACCGCATAACGCGCTTATTGGGAGAGTGATTTGCGAGGCTCCCACCAGGCTGCAGGGGAGCGACCTGAACGAGACGTCAGAGGAGGATCTGTGTCCTTCACAGAGCGGCGGCGTGGACACCAGCCTGGTCGCCCCTCCCACCCAGGAGGAGACCTTGGTCACAGTGGCCCGTGGCCCCCGTCCCACGCCTTACAAGCCCAGCAGAGACGCCAGCGGCCCGCCGACGCCTGGTGGCCACGGAGCCAAGAGCCGCTCCAAATCTCGTGAGAACTGGCAGCTGAAAACTAAGCCCACTCCAGTGGTGACAGGTGTGAGCAGCGAAAGAGAGCAGCTGCACAACATTACGTGCCCCCAGCTGTGCAACTGCAAGCTGGTGGGCTCCAGACAGGGGCTGGGGGTCAACTGTGAGGGCAAAAAGATCGAGAGCTTATCCAACCTCAAACCCAGGCCCTTGGCAGCGCATGAGTTGAACATGAGAGATAATAACATACATGGAGTGAAGAAGAACCAGCTGTTGGCCTACTCCAGCCTCAACCAGCTGGATCTGGGTGGGAACAACATCAAGATGATTGACAACGGTACTTTCCAGAACCAGAGCGAGCTCAGGTGGCTTTATATGGATAAGAACTATCTGGATACACTGATAGCAGAGATGTTTGTGGGCCTTGTGAATCTGGAATATCTCAGTTTGGAATACAACGACATCCAGCTGATAGTGGCAGGTGCGTTCGGGCCCATGCCCAATCTGAGGGTTCTGCTCCTCAACAACAACTTGCTCAAGTCTTTACCCGTGGATGCTTTTCTTGGGATTTCTTTATCCAAAATTAGCCTGCATAATAATTATTTCCCCCACCTCCCTGTGGCTGGCGTCTTAGACCAGCTCAATTCAATCATACAGATCGATTTGCACGGGAACCCCTGGGATTGCTCGTGCAACATTGTGCCCTTCAAGCAGTGGACGGAGAAACTCGGTGCCGAGGTGATAGTGGGCGATCTCAAGTGCGAGTCCCCAGAAGAGTTCTGGAAACGAGATTTCCGCTACGTCCGGAACGACCTCATGTGCCCGAGACTCTATGACCGAATCTCCCCCACCTCGCTCTCCAAAAACAGCACTTTCACCCTGGACTCGGGGACACGCTCAAACTCTTACTTGGAGCCCAACAGGGTCTCCATCTCCGTGCTCGTCCCTGGGCTGCTGTTGGTGTTCGTCACGTCCGCGTTCACTGTTGTGGGAATGCTTGTCTTTATTTTGCGGAACCGAAAGAGGTCAAAGCGAAGGGACGGGAACTCGTCCGCCTCCGAGATCAATTCCTTGCAGACAGTGTGCGACTCGTCTTATTGGCACAGTGGGCCTTATCACGCAGACGGGGGCGCGCACCGGGGCTTTGACTGCAGCACGCACCTCTCCACAACAAATGATGCGTAAGAATTAAAGGGGGGGACTTTCGTACAATAAACCTGGATTACAAACAGTCACATAGGACAAGGACTGACAAATGACAAAAAATCAGCAAGAATCCCCTGATTTTGTTCATCAGGGGGAACACAGACTTGTTAATGTCTTATTTTCTCCAGCTGAAGCAAGTAAGTCAGTCTGCTGCTGCACAGGCCCCACTCTGTAATATATGTATATGCAAAGCCCCCCCCCTCCTGGCTACAACCCCTCCCTCCCTCCTCCTCCTCCTCCCAGTTCTGCTATTTGCCGCAATCGGACTATACGGATCAGTGTGAGACAGAAAAG